TGACATAGAAGTTTAAAGACAAACCACTGAAGAAGCTAATCCTATCTTCCCTTCTATTGAATAGTTGAAACTTCATGTGCTAGACATTTTATGTTTATGTTTTGGTTGTTGTACTATACATTTAATGCTTACTTTTATTTTAATATTATAAGCTTACAAGGCTAGAAATGATGTGGCTTTCATTTTTTTGTCATTTCAAATATTATGCTTTGATTGCTTTATTAATTTTTATGTATGATTTTTAAATTATAATGTCGTGTCCGCATAGTACTCGTATCCTGTATTTTTTAGAATTGACGTGTTCCGTATCCGTATCATGTCGTATATGTGTCACCATATCCGTATCGGTGCAACATAGGCTGTAGTCCAAAACAAGGTTTAAAATTGCGTAATTGGGTATTAAGGCATTTTCTTTTATGAGGCGAGGCGTGAGGCTCAAAGCATTTTTAGGCGTAAGCTTGAAAATTAAAAAATTGCATAAAGTGAAAATAAATGTTAAAATTGATTCCTTATATAATGCCTAAATAATATGTTTAAGAATAATATTTTAACTTTCTATTGAATTTATGAAGTAATAAATTGACATACATATGAAACAAAAAAATTTATAAGACGGGAAGTGGCATGTGATAAATTGGGTGAAATATAATTAAAATTCAAATATTACAAGAGCAAAACAATATGAAATATAGAAATTACATAAAATGATCATATTACATCAAGTTCAACTCCAAATTCCTTCTTTCTCAGTTTCCTATTCATTCATATTTAATTCCTAAAAAAAGCTGACATGATTGACAATAACTCAGAAATCATTTGCGGTGGGATCACTGAGTGGCTCTTTATTCTTGTTGTTATCATAATAAATTGGTCTCTCTCCTGCCTCATCTTGTGGAGTTCAATGCCCCTCAATCTATTTTTTTTCATTTATTTCAATCATCTTTCTTTTTCATAAATATTTATCATTAACATAAAAACGGTAATAATACTCCAAAATTTTTAGAGGTGTTGGTAGTGGTGATGTACGACTTTCAAGTGATTCTCGGCGGTGGCTATGACAAAGGCGGTGGATTGGAGGTCGCGGCGGCTACGACTTGGGGGTGCATGAAGGCATGATTTGTTCAGGACTTTAGTTTAAGATTTAGACAAGTTTTAGTAAAAAAATATATAAATCAGGAAAGGCGTACGCCTCTAAGGAGGGCCTCAACCAAGCTGAGGCGCAAGCCTCATAAAAAAGCTTGAGGCGTGTTTCACTGGAATTGCGCTGAGGCGGGCCTCAAGGCGAGCCTCATATTGCATAATTTTAAACAATGTTCCAAAAAACTCATTCTTGAATGGTACAAATTGTATGTTAGCATTTGTTCTCTTAGATGAATCAACTATAAGCATAATGTTATAATCTCAATTTTATCTTGAGATTCTTTGACTTTTTTTGCATATTGAAATTAAGGATTCAGATAATAGTCTATTGCATGTAAGTGATAGTTAAATTATGGCTCTCATCTTTCATCAATAATGTCTTAAATTTATCTATAGCTACCCTCTTCTCCTCCTAGGTTGTGGGTAATCTTCTCCTTTGCTTCATCTATATCATTATATATGAAATCCATTGCAGACTTTATCTTAAAATCTACTATCCTCATAACCTACACTAGCGCGCTAGTTGTTGTAATATCATAAACTACATTACTACCCGTTCTTTCTAACCGATCAAAAAAAAAAAAAAAAAAAAAAAAAAAAAAAAAAAAAAAAATCATAAACTACCTTCTATAAGAATCTGTCATTTAAAATAATCCTCCTAACTTCTTTCTCTTTAGGTTTTCTTGCTTAAGCTCAATTTTTTTCACTTTGAAGTGAACATAGCCTGTAAAGGCTGCCTCACTCCGACATGCTCTGCAAAGTAAAATGGGTAGTGACAATCTTGTTGTGGTAGCTTCAATATTTCTTTCTTTGAAAACTTTTTAATAAGTGTCATAACCCAATAATGATTATATTTAAATTTACATATCTTTTTTGTTTTAGTCATTGTATTATTATGTTGTGGTAGCTCCTCAAGTTTTCCAAGGATCATGTCTATGCAATGTGTGCCACAGAGTCTAATATAAGTGCTATATATTTTTTCACAAATTTTGCACCTATAGTCGTATAAGCACTGGCATTATTTTCCACCACTTGAACCACCAAGTGCTCTCCAATCTCATTAATAACACTTTCAAGCAGTCCAACTATAAACTCAACATCTTTTGCCTTATTTAATGCCTCAATGGATTTCATGAAGACTATACCATAAGGGTAATTGAGCAGTATATTCATCAAGCTTCTGTTTTTTATATATGACCATCCATTAAACACGATAGTTACCACTGTCTAGTTCTAAGTATTCTTGATTTCTTTAATGCCTTTCTTAGTTGCAAGCTTTTCCTTTAAAATTTATATTCTCAAATCATATAGATGAAGACTTCATCCTTTGCCTGTAGGCTCCAACTAAACGAATCATATTGTAGTAAGTATGATATGTTGCATTGTTAAATGGGATAACATTCTCGTAAAAATATCTCCATATATCCATGTATACTCGTGTTTGTGCCATCCTAGCGGTATATAGGGCTAGCTTCTATAATGCAGAAGACTTATCTCCTTATCTATATTCCACCATGTTCGTTATGTAGCAATCCATGGGACCTCTTGCACCTGTACAGGACATAGGTTGCCAAGGGGATGATGAGTCTCGAGTACTACACTCGCTCCCATAGTATGAGTCAGCATCAACTTCGTCATCAAATTATTGTTGTGCTAGATGCTTCAACATTATTGACTTATTCATTGATGCTTTGTTCTCCTCTTTCATCATATTGGGAGCTTTGGCACAGGGTGCCACATTCTGTTGGGATTCAAATAGGTGCTCCTTCATCATAGTGACATCATCTTTCATCATTTTCTCACAATAATTATATTTCAAGTAAATATATTTCTTGACATTGCATTCCATATCAACTTGACTATTATGTTTCCATGCTGGGTTCTTCTTATGACTTGATGTGGTTTTATCCTTGCCTCTAACCATCATCTACAAAATTCTATAATAACAAGTTGAGAACATGAAAAAAAAAGGGTTCCAAAAAAAGCAGAGCCTCAATAAAAAATTAGGGTTTCAATTCAATAAAAAAAGTTTGAAAGAAAAAGTGTAAAACAAATTAAAAAAATTAGGTTTCAATAAGGTCAAGGAAAAAAATTGAAAGAGTTTGATGAATACTCAGAGAAGGTAAAGCAGGCGGATCCCAGGAAATCCCTGGTGGCTACGTCCATGGTGGTGGCAGGTTGATGGCATGGAAATCATGAATGGGCGTTTTCTTGTCAGGATGAGAGTTATGGCCTGGAGTGTGGGTGCGTGTTAAGGTACAATTCTTTAATATTTTAGATCGGGTTATTTTATATATTTTATAATTAAAAAAAATATGAGGTTGATGCCCCACTCCTCAAGGTGTGCCTCAGCCAGATTGAGACGTATGCTTCAAAACAAAAAAGTATGAAGTGTGCTCCTCTATACATTTTACACTCAAATTGTATTGCGGCCCTGCTTGAGCTGCGCCTCGCATTTTATAATTTTAAACAATGTCAATTTCATTTGAATTTTGCAGATGCCCTTCAAGATTCATTATTTTCTTTCTTAGTTAACATCTTCCTCATCAGTAATAGTAGAGCTAAAACAAAAATGTTTTGTAAAAGATACCCTAGATAGACTTTACATGGTTTCTTTATTATGGAGTGCATGACTTGGAAATCACTGGTGTTTGCATCAACGACGACGATGACAACTAGTGGCAGGATGGTAGCGGGTGGACGTTTTCTCTTTGAGATGGGAGCTATGGCTTGGTGTGTGGGCTCGTGTGAAGGTGCGGTTGCTTATTACTTTTGATTGGGTTATTTTTATATATTTTATAGTTTATAAAAAATAGGACGTGGCTATGAGGCGAGGTGCACCTTAGCTAGATTGAGGCATACGCCTCAAAACAAAAAGTATGAAGCGTGCGCATTGATGTGTTTTACACTTGAATTGCGTTGAGACTTGGCTCACATTGCAAAATTTTAAATTGTGTCAATTATATTTGAATTTTGCAGATGCCTTTCAAATTTTGCAGATGCCCTTCAAGATTCATTGTCTTCTTTCTTAGTCAACTTCAACCCCATCGATAGTAGTAGAACTAAATCAAAAGTGTTTTGTAAAATGTACCCAAATAGAATTTAAATGGTTTCTTTATTATGGAGTGCATGACTTTGTTGAAGGTGAGGGCGTGACATGATATTATCTCAAAATTTTGGTTGCTTGTTGTTGTATTGTTATAACGGATGTATTATGTTTTTTCTACCAATCTCTGTTGGTTGTTAGTTTATAAATGGATGGAAATATTCTTATTCAGTCTATAATATCTATCATTTCCCACAAAGCTTATCTGAATCAGCTATCTCGTTCAAACATAACTGAGTTGGGCTTGACATATATCTTCGAAGTTTATGATTGCCTTCTCGCTAGGTAATATTTTCTTGCTATGAATTGTAATAACCTTTTTTAAAAATATATGACTGAACACATAAAGGTATTCAAGGGTTTTTTTTTTTTCTGGGAAACCTCCCAAAAATTCATTAGATACGTTCTCATAGTTGGTTTTGTATTGGCAATGGTATGCACAATCTTAGCTTCCTACTTGTACGTTTGGAGGTGCCATAAAGTATGCATCCTCTAATGTACTTACTAATTTCTTTTGGCATGTTTTGGTCAGTAAATATATCATTGTAGATTTTGCAATGACTTTTCCACTCTTAAGTGTCCAAACCTTTTGATATTCGCTCCTTTTCCACATCCATGTGACTTGGTTTATAGAGTCTACTATGCACAAATGCTCTCATTTATAGAGAATGGCATCTTTCAGAGAAAAATTATGAATGTGTTATCTTCTTGAAATCCTTCAATATCCTTTAAGCAATGTGTTCTTTTGTTTCAGATCTCTGCATTGAAGATTCAACTTGTATAGTAGCATAGACAAGAAAGCCTTAGAGGTGGGTGAGAGAGTATGTCGGTTATTTTGTTGTCAGCTCCCTTTTTTTTAATGGATCACTAGATTGAACATTTAAAGTCATCCAGCTCATGTGCCAAGTCTACTAAAGCTTCTTTTGGTGTGTAAATCATAAAGTGGTCTTTTGATCTGTAGGCACCATAACTCTTTAGCTGAGTTAAGCACAATAGTCTTTTATTGCTTGATGTAGTGAAAATAGCTCCTTGTTGTAGGTGATTTAAGCTCGTTAAAATATCTCAGGGCGATAGGTAATTAGTTTTTTTATCTTGCATTAATATTGCTCCCATTGCATATCTGCTAGCATCTGATTCTAGATTAAATAATTGCTGCAAATTGGGAAAGGCCGGCACAAGGGCTTTATGTTCTTCAAAAGAAATGTTTCCTCTTGCTTATGACTTATTTTAATTTTGGAATTTGTAGCCTTGTTGAAATCTTGTAAAGGGTAAGCAAGTACTAAAAATGACAAGTGAGTTTATGGACAAATTAGAATGCTCTAATGAAACTCTTTACATTAGTCATTGCCGATGTTTTGGGCCACTTGATTGCTTTCCACTTTCATGATCAATCATGATCTGTCCATTTTCGACCTCAAATCTAAGTTAAAGGAAGGATTTCTTAGTGAGTTCACATTTTTCTTGGTTGATATGGAATAGATGTGTTAGTCCACGCCTGTAGGAGATGGGAGCACCCTATCCGATTCAAAAGTATTGAACCCTACAGATATGCTAGGCAGGAACCAGAGCAGTAGGGAGGGTTCAACCCCCCGTGTGGGGCCGGTAAAAGCTATAATTCAATATATAAGGAGGAGAAATCAAGGGAAAGATATATATGAAGGTTTTAATTAAAATTAGGAGTGAATATATAGGGAAAGAGATCAAATTTGAATTCAAATATGAGAGGAAATCATTTTAGGGTGAGGTGGTTTATTCGGGAGAGAATTTGGGAGAGTCTATTTAGGGCTAACTATATTGTTATTTCATGATTATGCAATTTGTTTTTTGCAGCAGTTTTATTTTGGAGAGCTTTCTAGCAACATCTAGGGTTTGTAGGAGGGTTGATCTATCTCTAGAATAGTAGAACAATTGTATCTGTTGTTTATGTTGAAGGAAAAAAAAATACAAAATTCAACTCTACTATTTGATTCCTCTGTTTTTCTTCTTGTTTGCTTGATGGTTTTACTTCCAAATTGCATTGATTTGGTATTGGGGCGAGGTTTTAGAGAGATGGTAGCAAAGAAGGTGGATGCGTTGGAAGGCGAGTTGGAGCAATTCAAATTCGGGATGGAGGAGAAGTTCTCAACCATTAAAGGAAAACTTTCAATCATGGAAGAAAGGTTCTCAACCATGGAGAGTTTGGATGGAGAGCCGGTTTAGAGGGATGGAGGAGATGAGGAAATTGATTGAGATGCAATCCAAAACTCCATCGGCGGTTCTTATTGCTAACCCTCACCATGATTTGATCATGGTTCTGTTGGCCGAATTTAAGGGAAAGGGATAGGACTGGAAGATATCGAAGAGGAGTTTCTTTTACCAATAACCACCTCTTAGGGGCTTCAATAAGGGGTTGAATAGGGACTTCAAATGGGGGGACAACATGAAGGGAGTTTTTGGTGGAGGTGGTGGGGTGGCTGACCACTATTGGAGATAGATGGAAGAAAGATGAGATTCCCACCCTCGATACAAGGGTGGAACCCTTGGTGGGAGAGGGAGTTGGGGTGGAGATGCTAGGATGAGGAAGTTGAAGATGATGAGATTCGAAGGGGAGAATGCCCATGTGTGGACATATCGAGTGGAGAGGTACTTCGCAGTGAATGGATTGAGAGAGGAGAAGCTTATAGCCACTGGGCTATGTCTAGAGGGTCAAGCCATCGCTTGGTTCCAGTGGAGGAAGGCTAAATATTCGATCCGTTCATGTTAGGAGTTTAATTATTTCCTGTTGGAGGGTTTCCGAGCCATTCGGGAAGGAGACCTACACTAGCAAGTCCTTGCCTTGACTCAGAAGAGGACCGTCATGGAGTATAGGGAGAGATTTGAGTTACTGTCACGATGGTTAAGGGGAATTTCAGAGGCGATACTGAAGGGAAATTTTATGAAGAGCCTCAAGCCTGAAATTTGAGTGGACCTCCGATTGTTAAGACCAAGAGGGTTGAAGGAGACAATGGTGTTAGCCCAGATAGTGGAGGATCATAGATAGATGGAGAGAATCAGTAAAAGCAGAGTCACGGGAGGCTCTTATAGAAGCACCATAGCTTCACTGGCATCGAGAATCTAGAGAGTGTCTTTTCTGCTAGAGGCACCAAGGGTGAAGAGTGGGGGAGTTCGCCTCAGGGCCAACTTTAAGCGTCTTACAGAGGTAGAGGTACATGAAAAGAGAGCGAAGGGTTTGTGTTTACGCTGCATTGAGAAGTATGCACTAGGCCATCGATGCAAGGACTAATCACTTCAGGTCCTTATGGTCTTTTTTGAAGAGACCGATAATGAGAATCTAGTGGAGGAAGAAGTGGGAGTGGAGCACCTACGCCTTGATGTGGCAGACATGTTCCTAAATTCAGTGGTGGGATTTATTCCAAATCACACTATGAAGATGAGATGACAGATCTGGGAGCAGCTAGTAGTGGTCTTGGTGGATAGCGAGGCAACGCATAATTTTTTCTCAAATCGGGTCGTGGATAAGTTGGGGCTGAAGTTGGTGGATATTGGGAGTTTTGGAGTTATGATGGACGAGGAAGGTGGAAAAAAGTAGGAGGATTTGTAGGAGGTTGATAATGACACTTCAAGACATACAGATAGCGGAGTATTTTCTTTCCTTGGAGTTAGGGAGCATAGATGTGATTTTGGGCATGAAGTGGTTGTAGACCCGGGAGAGACCAAGGTGGACTTGAAGGCATTAACCATGGAATTCATGGAGGGAGGGAGGAAGTTGAGGATCAAGGGGATCCTAGACTATCCAAAGCCAGGCCTCTTAAAACTCTAGTGAGGGCAATCTAGGGAGTAGGAATGGGATTCTTGGTGTATCTCCAAAGCCTCAAGGGAGAGGAATGCATGGAGAAAGGAGAGGATATTCCTGAGATAATCCAACAAATCCTACAAAAAATTTAGTGAGGTGTTCCAACAGTCTCAAGGCCTACCTCTCCCAAGGGAGCATGAGCATGCCATCAACCTAAAAGAAAGGGTATCTCCTATTAGTGTTTCACTCTACCGATACCTACAGGTTCAAAAGGATGAAATTGAGAAGCTAATCAAGGAGATGTTGAAGGCTCAGATCATTCTTCTCGGTGCTAGCCCATTCTCCAATCCGATGTTACTGGTGAAGGACGATAGTTGAAGATTTTGTGTAGACTAATGAGTTATGAATAAGGAAACTGTGTTGGATAAGTTTCCTATACCTGTCATTAAGGAGTTTTTAGATGAGTTACATGGAGCAGTGCGTTCTCCAAGATTAATATGATATCAGGATACCATTACATTAGAATGTGGCCTGCCGACATACACAAGACCTCCTTCAAGACTCACAAAAGCCATTATGAGTTTTCAATGATACCTTTTGGGCTTACCAGTGCCCCAACTACTTTCCAGTCATCGATGAACAAGGTATTTTAGCCCTACCTCCTCAAGTTTTTATTGGTTTTCTTCGATTACATTTTGGTGTATAGCCGATCAGAGGTAGAGGATGTGGAGCACTAGATGGCTGTGTTAGTGACATTGGAGGAGCATCAGGTGCGTAAAAGTAAGGCTAAGATCATACCTAGTCCTAAATAAACTTCGCAGGACATAAATTCTACCTACAAAAAAGTAATAAAATTAGTCTAAATTCAAATACAATTTGATAGAAATTAGTTTAAATCTTGAATTAAAAATTCAAAATGCTTATCATAACAAGTTCTTATCCTGTTATGTAGTGGATTTTATTCTGAAAGTCTAGCTTTTGGGGACTTGATCTCTGTCGTAAGATGCCTAGTTGATGATTTGATCACACCTATGAACACTAGCTGCCATTTTCAATCTCATTGGTATAGTCTAAGATTACCACCCTTAATATTCTTAATCAAGAAATCGGTTTATTTGGAAAACAATTGATTTGATTTTTTGATCCCTCCATAAGTTGATGCTCAAATTGTGAAGGTTTTTGTCCTCTAGTGTTATTTAAGTTATTGGTTAATTTGGCAATCCATTTCATGATTTGACCCCTAGATGAAGCCTCAACTCTCTCGTCGCCTCTCCTAGAATCTTGCTTTTGATTGAAGCCATTTTGGGATAAACTCATAACATGTGGTCATTATCATATGCTTGGTATGTACTAGGTGTAATTTTCTTACAATGGGAAGCTATCTAGAAATAGAAAGATTGAGAGAGAATGAGAGGATTGACAAGTAAATGTGAAAGGATTAACTAGTATTATTTTGAAGGACTACAAAGGGAATAAAAGCCAACTTGAGAAACATATGAATTCCCTTTTAAGTAAGGATGAACGTTAAGACAAAATGAAAATGCTATTTTAGAAATTGTGAAATTAGTTTTGTGTCATCCTTTTAGAAGAGTATTCTAAATAAAATAGTTAAGAATAGTAGAGATTAGTAGAAAAAGGGTGAAGTTGTGTTCTCTTTAACGAAGAGCATAAATATATATAGCTTTAAATTCAAATAAAATACTTCTTAAATTTTTTTTTGTTTTACGAGATATTGGAGTAATTTGTTATTTGTTTTTTTAATAGAATCTTAATTGACTATGAAGCTGCCAAATGACCAAAAAGTACACTTGTAGAAAGCCATGCATGAGTGAATTTATTTTGATGGATGCAACAAAATAATATAAATATACAAGATTTGAGTGTTACACATATAATTGCCTCATTTTTTGCATTGTTTATGGGCATATACTTATAGAAATTATTCAGAGAGAATTACCAATGTTATTTTCATCACCAATGTGTATGGCTACATAATGTATAAAACTTTTGGAAATTAGGGGACTTGGGATTATTGAACAA